GGTCCTAGAAATCATGCTGCATTTTTTGGCATGGTTGTGGTGGGGTGGGTTCGGTCGAGAGATACACAGAACCGGACCATCAAGACCGGGTGTTGGCCGTTGAAGAGCCCTGTGTTGTGTTGCTACATGCCACCCTTCAGGAAGTGCTGCTTTTCAGAAAGAAGAAGTTCAGTGAAGACCATCCGAGCACCCCCATCCCCGAAGAATTTTTTCACCCTCTCCACCGCCCCTCCCCCTGAATTCCGCTGCAAGCACAAAGCAAATGCCCTAATCCTAACCCCCCGCCCCCCCCCATGCAGGAGTGTCTCAGTCTCGTGTCCTGCAAAAATGGTCTGCCCTGGGAGTCATGGGCTATTTGCTGCCACTCTGGTGGGGTGCTAGCTTCGGTTCAGGGTGTCCAAGTCTTAGTAGAATGTTTGCTTGCTCATCCTGCCATGTCTGACAGACAAGATGAAGGGCTTGGCCTGAGGCTTTTGTGAGATTCACGATGTGGGAGCACTGAACATCATGTAGCCGAAGCTACACATCTAGGCAGAACTGATCATTGAGCCGAGGCTTACTTAGGTAAGTAAGTATCGTTGCTTTCCTTGCAGAAATTGGTACCAATGTCGGCAAGGAATCCTGTTCTTTCCAGAATCAAGCTGGGCCAAAGAGTACTGAACATCTTTAGCTAAGAATCATTGTTTTCCTTGCAGAAATTGGTACCAATTTCTGCAAGGAATCCTCTTCTTTCCAGAATGCAGCTGGGCCCTCACTCTGGCTCATCACACTAGTCGCAGGAGCACTTGGCACCAGTGTTGCTGATGCAATCCTATGTACATATTCGGTGCACTCCAGAAGACTTAGTTCCATACTCGGCGGCAGTCCACAGGACCTAGTTCGATGGCTTATCTCTGGCTGAATGCTAAAGACAGGTGTGCAGCCGCTTTCCGACCCTACTACCCTGCCTCTGTACTGAGAATGATGGTTTTACTTGCATTTCTCTGACATCTCAAGGCAATCGACTTGCATCGACTAGCAGATTCCGGACTTTGCACTGAGCGCTCTTGGAGGCCTACCCTAGAAGAACTTGGAGGGCTTTGGGGGGAGGGTATTCAAGGTCTCATAATGTCACGAGGCCCGGGCTTGACTGCACATGGGTGGAGTTCAAGCCCGGGCCTCGTGACATTATGAGACCTTGAATACCCTCCCCCCAAAGCCCTCCAAGTTCTTCTAGGGTAGGCCTCCAAGAGCGCTCAGTGCAAAGTCCGGAATCTGCTAGTCGATGCAAGTCGATTGCCTTGAGATGTCAGAGAAATGCAAGTAAAACCATCATTCTCAGTACAGAGGCAGGGTAGTAGGGTCGGAAAGCGGCTGCACACCTGTCTTTAGCATTCAGCCAGAGATAAGCCATCGAACTAGGTCCTGTGGACTGCCGCCGAGTATGGAACTAAGTCTTCTGGAGTGCACCGAATATGTACATAGGATTGCATCAGCAACACTGGTGCCAAGTGCTCCTGCGACTAGTGTGATGAGCCAGAGTGAGGGCCCAGCTGCATTCTGGAAAGAAGAGGATTCCTTGCAGAAATTGGTACCAATTTCTGCAAGGAAAACAATGATTCTTAGCTAAAGATGTTCAGTACTCTTTGGCCCAGCTTGATTCTGGAAAGAACAGGATTCCTTGCCGACATTGGTACCAATTTCTGCAAGGAAAGCAACGATACTTACTTACCTAAGTAAGCCTCGGCTCAATGATCAGTTCTGCCTAGATGTGTAGCTTCGGCTACATGATGTTCAGTGCTCCCACATCGTGAATCTCACAAAAGCCTCAGGCCAAGCCCTTCATCTTGTCTGTCAGACATGGCAGGATGAGCAAGCAAACATTCTACTAAGACTTGGACACCCTGAACCGAAGCTAGCACCCCACCAGAGTGGCAGCAAATAGCCCATGACTCCCAGGGCAGACCATTTTTGCAGGACACGAGACTGAGACACTCCTGCATGGGTGGGGGCGGGGGGTTAGGATTAGGGCATTTGCTTTGTGCTTGCAGCGGAATTCAGGGGGAGGGGCGGTGGAGAGGGTGAAAAAATTCTTCGGGGATGGGGGTGCTCGGATGGTCTTCACTGAACTTCTTCTTTCTGAAAAGCAGCACTTCCTGAAGGGTGGCATGTAGCAACACAACACAGGGCTCTTCAACGGCCAACACCCGGTCTTGATGGTCCGGTTCTGTGTATCTCTCGACCGAACCCACCCCACCACAACCATGCCAAAAAATGCAGCATGATTTCTAGGACCAACAATTCATTTTCACGACACTCCCGTGTGCCTTGGGGGGGGCTCGGGGGCGGAAAAAGGCTTGGGGGCAGGGGGTCGGCATTCGGCACGAAGAAATGCTACACACGCACACACACACACAATCCAACACCAGCCCAGAAAACAGTAGCATTGTTTTGTGGGGGATGGAAATGGGAAGAAGGATCGGTGTGGGGAGTAGGTCCATTTGGTTTTGAACTGGTTTCCTGGAACAGACCATCCTCCCAGCCATAAAACTGCAGAATGTTCAGGCATGCAGTGTAATATATTATATATTCTTTGTGTCGGATCTCATGCTGCTGCCATGATGAGCGGGTTAAGTATTACAGAGCTTTTATTTAATCCAGGAGCCCAATAATATCGATTGAGAATGTTCTCCAACAAAGACATGCGAGAGCAATCGTTCTTATCCAGATTTGAAGGCTTCTGAATTCTGACCAGAGCAAGATAAAGATAACACTGCTTCCAGTTTCGTGGGTTCTCCGGATTCTTGGGCACGGCCAGATTATTTTCAATCAAATTACTATTGAACAGGGCAGCTGGGGTGTGGGCAAGGTAGTCCAAGGTTTTAGTGTTGTTGTATGGCAAATTCTGTCGAAAGATAGCAAAAAGTCTGGCAAACCTCACAGTTTCAAAGTTGATGGCCCGGACACGAAAGTCATGCCCTCATGTGTGGCCCCACTACTTGAAAGAACACTCCTGAGGACATACTTAGCTTGACTCTACTTTTCTTGAGTCACTACCACTGTCACTGTGTTAGGCTTCTCCTGCAGCAAGATAAACCCGAGACATTTGCAAGGCCTCAATCAAAGCATGAATGAAAAGAACCACTGGAAAAATGGGGCCCTTTGGCTCACTCTGCATGGGCAATGTGTGTATATATATATATAGAGTCATATAGAGAGAGAGAGAGAGAGAGAGAGAGAGAGAGAGAGAGAGAGAGAGAGAGAGACAGACAGACAGAGAGAGAGAGAGAGAGAGAGAGAGAGAGACAGAAAACGAGCAAGAGAGAGAGAGAGAGAGAGAGAGAGACAGTGAGAGAGAGCCACTTTTTTATTATGTTGTGTTCTGCATTTCTGTTGGCTTTGGGTCTCCGGGCTGCCTTTTTCACATGAATCGTAAGAACAAAAAGGCTTGTGCTGGAGTATTTCTCTGCCAGATGAAGTAAATAGCCCCGGAGCGGCCCCTTCCCGCCTTTGAATTTGGGCACTTAGAACCAATTGGCCTCAGTTGGGCTTGGGGCTGTGGGATAGTCTATTATTGACTTCACAATGGACTTGCTTGGAATTGGGGGTGTCCTATCTGGTTAACAAGACTCCCTGTTGCAGTGCCGACATAGGGGATAGCACATTGCATTCATTATTCTCCTTCCTCTGCAACAAAGGCTTGGTGCTGTGCACCATTACACTCCGGGCGGGTTGTTCTGACTTGAGGTTGTCAATATTGAATCCCCCCACCGTCTTGCAGCAAAACAGTTTTCGAAACCAATTGGCCATGTGACAGGCTCATCATGTGCAGCGGATGCTACCCCCCAAAAAAAAGGCATACTATGTATCTGTCGAACACACTAAAGACCCACATGCAGAGATCCATCCGGACCGGAGGGCTCCAGCATGACCCTCATGGATGAGCACTAAAACTGGAGAGTGTGGACATCATAATTCGATGTTCCCCGGTTCGTCACAAGAGGCGAACACCCAAACCCAGCAGCACTCTCGAAACCCGCCGCCCGGCTGGCAGCAGCATCACGACCCATTGCAAACAAGATATTGTGCTACATGCCAAAACATTCTGCAGTTTTGTACCTAAACCCAGCAGCACTCTCGAAACCCAGTGCCCGACTGGCAGCAGCATGAGGAGCCAACACAAAGAAGATGTTGTGCTACATGCCTGAACATTCTGCAGTTTTGTAGCCAAACCCAGCAGCACTCTCCAAACCCACCGCCAGGGCCAGGAGGGGGGACGGTCGGGCCGGTAATGACGGCATTAGTGAGGGGTGGGGCCGGTAATGACGTCATTAGTGAGGGGTCGGGCCGTTAATGACGTCATTAGCGGGGGGTCGGGCCGTTAATGACGTCATTAGCGGGGGGTCGGGCCGTTAATGACGTCATTAGTGGGGGGTCGGGCCACTAATGATGTCATTAGTGGGGGGTCGGGCCACTAATGATGTCATTAGTGGGGGGTCGGGCCGCTACTGACGTCATTAGCGGGGGGTCGGGCCACTAATGACGTCATTAGGGGGGGGGGCCTGCCCTAATGACGTCATTAGGGTGCCCCGCGGCCCGCAAATGACGTCATTTGTGCTAATGCAGTCGGGACCTTTGGTGGCTACACCCCCCGTAGCGACCAAAGGCCCAGAGTCATTAGCAGGGCCTGGGCCAGATAATGAGTCTGGACCTTTGGTGGCTTTGGGGGGTGTAGCCACCAAAGGTCTCGAATTGCATTAGCGGCAGCCCAGGCCAGGTAATGACACTAGAACTTTGGTGGCTACACCCCCCGTAGCCACCAAAGCTTGAGGATCATCAGGGGCAGCAGGTGTCAGACCACACAAATCCAACAGAACACGTTGCCAGCATTTGCGGGCAACGTTGAGTTGCCTGCACCCCCCAGGGCCAACATAGGTCAGTCTACGTTATAGAGGCCCAACTTACATACGGCAGCAAGTGCTGTGGCGTTTGTTTGTTGGCCCGTCCTCGCGTGAACCAAGCAATGTTGGCTACAGGGCCTGTAACAAACACAGTTCGGAATGTAAATGCAACGGCAAAGTTCTGGTCGATTTACTGGGTTAATGCTAGAGATTCCAAGGACCATGGTGTCCACAGCTACAAGAAGCAAGGTGGAACATGTCATGAAGAAGCTCTTCGCTGTAGCCGACATCGAGGATGCAAACACTTGCTTGCATCCAATGGATTGGCTGGCATCTCTCCCAGACATGGCGAGCATGCT